CGAAAGAAAAATACTGTGTTGCCCTAAATCTACAAATAAATTAACAACATCCTTTTTTCTTTCTTAAACCTAAGCTCACCGATTCTCCCCCGCTTTCTGTAATAGAACAAGGAGAGACAATTTCGTAAAACTAAACCTCACTCGTACATGATGATACACGCGATCTTCACTTTGTGTTGAAGTTTCGTTTTTATACGAATCTTACTTACGCTATATCACGGTTGTTCTCCTTCGAAAATCAGGACAGAATTCGTGTCATGGTCAATGACAATACAGTGACGTGTAGGTCGAATCGAACGGAATTAATAACCGACGATGACAGGTAGCACGATTGCACGTGGAATAGGCCGGACGCAGATTCGTCCACAGTTACCTGTTTGATAAATGCTTGAGAGGGCCGAGGCTTAATATAGAGGTAGCACCGAGCGCGCCCAAATTGTAACTGCTCGAGTTTCTCGCGCCGTCGATGGTGATGATGGGCAAGCCGAAGTAACCGCCGGTTTGGGCGCTCAACTGCGACAACGGTATGTAGCTTTGAATGCCTAGATTCGCCAAACGATTCAGGACATGCGGCGACTTCAGGTCTACAACCGGCAAGGCTAACTCGGCGCCCCCGTTTTGCGCCACGGTGTCTACCTCTTTGTGATAAGCCTGCTTGTGCGTCATCAGTGCTTGAGCCGTAGGGTATTGAGCGGGACAGAGGTTGCATCTTCAAAATAAAAAGGCGATAAGTAGGAAAGAAATGTTGCGTCTCGTTTTGTCCCCCGTTCTCCGTTTGGAGGGCGAGACACTAAGAGTCTGTTCTCTATTCCTGCACTCACTGGCTACACTAGCTTGTGGCAATTCTCTTTCCCTCTCTTTCCCACCAAATCTCTAGAAAGAGCAAGCTAATGGCAGGAATAGAAAACAGGTCCTAAATTAATTAACTAACGATCGCGAGAACTTACTTGTGCAGAAGTTTGCTGGTCGTCCGGTGATTCGCCATATGCTGCGTCAACATGTCTTGATTCTGAAAGTTCTTGTCGCACACCTGACACGTCAATAACGCTCTGGAAAACGCAACGTGGTGTATACAACAATGAACTCGCCCACCGATTACCGAACAATCGTGACTGATCCCGTGATTGAGTAAATGCAAAATCGAGAAAGGGAAGGTGCAAGTATCAACGTCTGAACACGCGTATCCAATTCTGAGTATTCTTATTGTTTTGCTCTTTAAATATGAACATTTAAATCTGCAACGTAGGATACACAGGATGCTTGTCGCTAATGATTGAAAATGGCCATGTGTAGAGGAGAACTTATTTAACTAATAACTCGAAAATCTGCGTGATTATTTGCAAAATGGTGAAGGATTTTTTTGTTTAGAACGGACTAATCTATAAATATGGCTGTTGTACCTAACGATAAGTTCAAGGCTCGAAGTACAATATATTGATGATATATTGATGTCTTTAGGTATCAAACTCAAGGTACAACAGCTAGTTCAAATATAATAGCTGCCGCATACTTCAGCATGATTGTTTAATTTTTTTGTTCACATTAACACAAACCACAAGTACATAACGGATGTCCCACTTATGCTCGTTTCTACCGTTATGATTTAAATCTAATCAACGATTAACCCAACGAAAGTGGCCAATTTAATTGATCAGCCCAGCTAATTGGCCAACGGCCAATTGGTCAATTTCGTCGAGTTAATCGTCGATTAGATTTAAACCGTGATGGTGGAACCGAGTATTAGCGATAGACACCCTGCATATATATATATACACACACACACAGACGCATATTTTCTACGTTGAACGTTGAAATATTCGCGTTCAAAGACCAAAACAGTGAGAATGTCGAAAATAGTAAGTAAGAAAGAATAAGAATGAAGAGACTGTAAAAATGTTCCTCACCTGGGTGGTCGACCACGTCTGACCACCGGCATTTGTGGCGGCGTGTCCTGCGTGAGATCCACGGTCGGTGGCCTCGGTGGTCGCTCCACTTCGTTCATCGACGATTTGTTCTGTTTGTTTTGAGGCACGGCGAACTGGCCCTGCTCCTGCTGCTGCTTTCTTTGCGAACTAGTTGGTATGATAGAAATAGCAGAATTCAGATTGAGGGCTGTAACATTTAAAGGCTGCTGTGAAGGTGGTGGCCTCTGCTGCTGCTGCGGAGGTATCTGCTGTTTGTTTTGTTCGCTTGTTTTATTTTTATTTGCAGCTGGAGTAACTGTTATACCTCGGGCCGCAAGGACATTCGCCACTGCCTTGGCGTCGGATTTCTTTCCGCCTGGGCTCGACGTGTTCTGGACTTGAGCTGGGGCGGAACCTTTAGATTAGTAAAAGAGAAAACACACGGCTCTTTATGTCTCTGTGTAACGCACCCCTTCTACGAACAGTGATCTCTCGGGCGGGACATATATGCGAAACAATACGGACAATTGAAGCAAACGGCGGTGAAATCAAATGAGCGAATGAAAGCAATCGCAGGAAATGAAATTTCGAGGCGTTCGCAGGCACTGAATCTCGTACAGTCGGCCGCGAAAAGTCGCGAAAACTTTTTTTTTCTTACAGGTTCCCGAACAACACATCCCGTGTCCAATAGGAGAATTTGTCTTTCTTCAGTAATTCTCGGGAGATGCATTTTGCCGATACGAGGTGCGTCACGAAACTCATCGAAAGGAAAGCGTCGCGACCGACCGTACAAGCGACTCGGAGGAACGCCGCTGGTACGTAAAATCGCAGGAACTGAATCACACCAAGAGAAGAGGTACTTTAACAGGTAAAATAAAGTATACAAATAATCACAAATTAATTTAATGTATATAGGTAAACAAAAAAGTTTCTAGACAGTTTCTCGCATCAGTCGTCTTACGTAACGTGATAATTAAGCAGAATCTCGCGGTGAACGCGGATAATCGATCGACCGGTATTCATAAGCGTCATAAATTCTAGCAACGCGCCGTAGGAATGTTCCTTGATTACCCGACACGTCAGGCGACTAAAGTCGAGACATACTCAAGCGAACCCTGAACTTACCCGGTTGTCGAACACTTAGAGTGATCGAGTCCGTGAGGTGTATGGTGGAGTCGTTTCTGTTAGTTTGCTGGGGCGTAGCACCCTGCACATTTTGTATGACGGGCAGACCGTCGTTCCGCTTTTGTTGTGCTATGACGTGACAGTCCGCGTCCTCGTTTCTATCGGGTAGCAGCACGTCCATGCGTCTCTGCTTCACCGCTGCGGAACCGCTGTTTTGCGGCTGGACCTGCATCGTTTGCTGCATAGGTCTCTTCATGCGTTGCCGAGGCACCGGGCCGGCTTGCTGCGGTATCCGTGGTGCTCTGAAATATGATATTTAGTATGAATCTGGCTTCTATAAAGATAGAGAAATAGAAGAGTTGGATAGATGACACAAAACTTTCCCCGAATTTTCGGACCCAAATATGTTCTTTGCTTCAAGATAAGGAACCGAGGTTTGAACAAAAGAAGATATAGAAGCTCACAAGATAAACAACGAGAATGATAGGCTGATAAGAGCTATATATTAGGTGCGACCACTCGACTTAATGAGAAGTAAATTATTGCCCAACGTCTAATAAGTCCTTATCAGCTTGTTAGTCTTACTATTAGTCTTACAAAGAAAGATACTGAAAATGAACAATCAGTAAGAAAGATGGATTACTAACACTCCGTGTCGCTGGATGTTAGGTAATTTGAGGACTTAAGACTGCTGAACCCTTGCTTGTAATCGTCCTTATCTAATGACGTCCGAAGCAAGAAAACACGCGCTAAAAATTCTTGCGTTCTCTTAACGTTCAAATAAAACGATATACCCACAAAATGGCACCATGTGACCCGTTTAGCAACTTTGTAAAATTGTCCGGAAACTTTTCCTTGACTCGAAGAATCAATAAATAGTCGCAAAAATTAACTTGACATGAGACCTATCTTTTTAACTTCTTTCATGATTTTGTCAATGTTAATTTTGTGATTATCTACTGATTGTTCGAATTCTTGGTATGTATTTATTCGCTTCTGACATTATCGAATAGAGATAGTTGCAGGGAGCGACCGATAGCCGTGTCCTATAACTTTTAACGGCGCGTAGTTATCGTTACGACGTCATTGCATAGCTTCTCCGCCATATGTTATACCTGAAGAACTACGTCGTAACGATAACGACACTAACATTAACAGTTCCAGAATCAGAGGTCAGGAGTTTTCTTAACAGAAAGTTTTAGTGCTCAAGGGTTTCTCATTAGTTCGTCATTCTAAGAACGGAATATCATCAATATCATTAAGATTCAACCGACATCAGATTTATTAAACGTATAATTAACTCGATCTTTGATTCCGCTAGTTTCTAACAATTTGCATTTTAAATCTAAATATTTTCCTGCTTGACTGTAATTTTAAAGAACCGTCATCTCTGTGTGCAAAGCATCACGTAACACCGCGGAATGACTAATAATAACTGCGGAAAAATAGTTAACTGTTATTGCTATCGACAAAGTCCACGTCATCGCATTTGTTTTGCACTTGAAGTGCAAGGAAATATTGCTGAGATCGCAAAAGCGATTGTTCCGCTCTTGACGGAGGCGCAGTGAGTCATACAACTTGCTCACATTACCTGTTCCACAACACCTTACGTGGCAAAAGGAACAAAACACGCTATTTTTAACATGGCCTGAGGAAATTTATATCTGCTTACTCGGCTTATTTTTCAGACTTTGCCTCTTGAGATTTTTATCGTTGCAACATTTGATCTTTATAGCTGCACCGTTGAACTGCAGTAAATTGAAGTGAGAAATCACAAACTCACTTCGACTTGTCGCACTAGTTCATCAACGCGGCTATAAAGAACAGACCAACCACTTCCTCGATTCCATTTTAAAACAACGGAAAAACAACAGAAGACGTTCGGAAGTCTATCGGTGACTTGATCGCTTTGAAAATCGCCAAATTTCAATCGCGATGGAATTCGACCGCTGTCCGATAGATAGTGTGGGGAGCCAGCGGAAAATTAAAATTGCACACCCGTTGATGGGAAAAATCACGATGTTTGGCAAGAGAAGCACCGAATTAATTTACACGCCCAATAGAATCGTCGAAAGTTCATCGCTCAATCGTACGACACGAAACACCGACGTTGCGGGCTCTTACCGGCTGTTCTGGACGACAGACGGATATCGCCCTCGTGGAAGTTGCTGGGGCAACTGAGGGTGCATTTGCGGTGGCGCGGCCATCTGTGGGTACGGACCCGCCGGGCCGTACTGGGGGCCGTACAAGTGCGTCAAATGCGGGGCGTAATGCATACCCTGTGGACCAGGTACTCTGTACAACGGCGGTCGTCCCGGCGGTTGCACGAAGTAATTGGGCCCGGGTATCATCGTGTTCGCGCCCGGGGGAAGACTCGGGGGCATCTGCCCCGTCTGTGGAAGAGGCATGCGCTGCACTTGCTGGGCCAGTTGCTGCACAGGCGGCGGCAGTTGCTCGAAGTTCACCGGCGGTATCATTTGTTGGTTCACCGCCGGTGCGCCGCCGTACGTCGGGGAGTTCGTCTGGTGCGGCGAGGTCAACGGTGAGTTCCTGCTGAGCTGTTGCGAACCCGCAGTGGCCGACGTGGTCGGCGGCGACGGCTCCATCGGCGACGCGGTGTGGTGCGGTGAGTGGGTGTTGAGCTGCGGCGAGGCTTGGCTCAGGTGCGGCGAGTTCTGGTTGACGTGCGGCGAATTCGCGTTCAGATGCGGCGACAGCTGGCTCACACTCGGCGATAGCTGGGTGCCGTGCATCTGCGCACGATGCATCGACACCTCCATCGGCGAGTGAAAGATCATGCTGGCGCATTCCGGGATGTTGCACTGGTAGTGGCCGGCCTTGCTGCGGTGCTCGTCCAAGTGAGCGATGTCCTTGAACTTCTCGTTGCAGACGCGGCACGTGTTGACGGTCTCCGCGAGCTTCTCCAGGGACACATACTCCGTTTCGACCGGCACCAAGCTGTTCGACAGCGACACCTCGTTCGGATTGCGTCTCTGGTGTTCGATGAGGAAATTCTGCAGGAGCGAGCCGGCGTTCTCTATGTTCGCGTCGCCTCCGCCTCCTTCCGCGTGCTGCTGCTCGCCGCTGTCCTTGGGGTCCTCGTTGCTCTTGCTCGACAGATCGGCGGACAGCTGGTTCCAATTGAAGCCGGACTGCGACTCGCTCGACTCCCTGTCCTTGTCCTCGCTCTCGCACACCGCGGCACGTTCGGCCGCATGATTAGAATACGTGGAAGACTTTGGAATAATGCTGATGGAAGGATTCTCCTCGAGATTGTGTATCATACTGGACTCGTGGCTCCTGTCATCCTCCTCCTCGACGTCAGGATCGTCGATTAGCCGACTCGTCGACCTGGAGCTGCGGAGGAAGCAGAGATCATGCGGTAAGTCGCGTTGTAATTCTAATGTTTCTCGACCTTAGGAACATATTACATAAGCGAGCCGAGTAAACATAAATTACGCGATCTCTGCAACATAAACATCATTCACATTGAACTGTTGACACCTTATTGAACTTGGTACCAAGCAAAACACTTATGTGTGATTTTTATTGACATACATATGCATCCACTTATCGAATAATTTATACATTCAATCTACGCATTCGTTTATGCTGATCCCCTTCATCAACTTCATCACATTTCTAACCTAAACGTCTGTTAATAAGAACATATCTATTTTATAATTCAAGGATTAGCTCAGAATGTTATTGTTTATGCATCATCATAAACGAGCTCACCTGGACTGTTCACCAAGTTTCTTCAAGTTCTCGATGGTCTCCCTACAGGTAGCTTCCAAGGCATCGGACTCCTCGTGGTCTTCGGATTCTGACAGTCTCTTCTCAGAATTGTCATAATTATCGACACCCTGTATATCGTCGACATTTTGATCTTCCTTCTCGGATGGATTTGCCATATCACTCCCTACACCTGAGTCACCTTCGTTAACATCTAAGGACGGCCTATCATTCTCTTCTAGAAGATTATGATCGTCGCTGAACTTAATGTTCCCATAATCGTCCTGTAAACGAGAACGAGTTGCAGAAACTATGAGATAAGCTGTGCCAGCACTCGAGCGAGCAACCTCGCAGAACACTGATCACTTACTTGTTGGTCCACCATCACGTTTTCGAAAGGTTCATCGAGCGAGCCCTCTGTTGCCCTGTCATCTCTGTGGTCATTCTCCTTAGCACCTGCCACCTCTTCTCCTTGGTGATTCCCGATATCCGGATAAAAGTTACTGTTCACAACTGTAAAGGCCTCCGAATTCTTCTTGATGGTGAGCTTGACGCTTTGCTTCTTCAGAGTCAGTTTCAACGAACCCTTCTTCTCCGGATCGAGCCAATATGTGTCGCCCTGCCTCTTCTTCACCACTTTCGGTCCTGTCACCCTCCTCAGGACGATGCAAGGCTTCCTCAAATGAGTGTTGATGTGAACACGGAGAAGCTTCTTCGAGGCGAACTGCCTACCACAAATGCCGCAGTCTAGCAGCGGTTGTTGACCGCTGAAACTGTCCGGCGACCTGGGAGTGCCCGCACGGTCGTCTGAAACAGAAGGCATGAGTGCCATCAACGATGCCGACGGGATTACATCTTGTTGCCGTCGTATCGCGCGCTTGCATTACACACACGCACACAGCGTTACGTGATGGTAGCGTGTAAAGTTTGTTTGGTGCGCAGAAGTTACATGGGTCGTACGCGAAGGGAAGGGAGACGCTGAAGAGGGACGCACGAGGACACGCGAAACAGAGAGAGAGAGAGAGGGAGAGAGAGACAGAAAGAGAATGTGAGAGAGAGAGAGAGAGAGAAAGAGAGAGAGAGAGAGATCATGCAAATAACACATCGATGAAGGTAACTGACCGCCAACCGATCGTTTCGTGTACACATGCGCTACGTACGATCCGCCGAAACGACGTTCAACAGTGAACCCACTACTGATTTGCCGCGCTTTTCTTCGCCGCTTTCGCCGCGATGTTACACGACTCGGCCGACTACTCCGTGCCTGTGTAGAGACGAGTCATTGGTCGTGAGCGCGCGCGATTCGTCGCGCACAGGAGGGAAAAGGAGCAACCTCACGTTACATCAACGGTGCAACGAGGACTGATTGTACATAAATATATATATATATATATATGTGTGTGTGCATATATATATATGTACATAAGTACCATATACACACACATACGTGACATATGCAATTTATATATATTTATTATTATACATGGGTATATATGTGGAATACAATCGTAAACAAACTGGCCTCGCGCCGGATTCCGTCACGCGAACGTAATTCAACTCGACTCGTGCAAAATGGTCGCGCAGCAGCGCGCGAGAATAATTGCTTCGCGCTTTTGCTGCGAATTGAAAATACGGCCCGCGAATCGATACACTAGTGAGCTAAAGCGCATCTCGCATTGGCTGCCGCCGTATCGGCGCGAGCCTTCTAGTTCACCGATTGGCCCAGTGGGGCCGCTCCGGAGCATTCGCGACCGGGTCCCTCCTGTGTGCAATGCGGCGACTTGCGAAAGCGCAAAAAAAGTGTACTGTTGGCTAGAGTTAATCCTTCAACATCGATTGACCTAACCTAACACGGGTCGTCCCTAACCTAACCCAACCTGAACTGTGGTAGTGTCTGATGTCTCTCCTTTTTTATCTCTCTATCTCTTTTTTTTCTCAGAAATATTTAATCAGACGATTAAATAGGAGAAAATGGAAGAGATCAAGGACAGGCCGTGATTCACTCTCGATTGAGGTTAATTCACGCTGCAATATGAAGAGGCGGCGATTATTGTTATCGCAAAATATAGACGTTCGTGCAGAGAAAAGAATATCATGTGGCACTGTGTCGTGTGTGTACTCGAGGATGACAGATACCCTGAGATATTAATTGACGAAGAAAGGAAACACGTGAGTGTTTAACGGAAAGAATCGTATCGAAATTATCAGAGAGGTGTCGTAGAAGCGTCAGCTGTTAGAAATGTATACACAGACATAAAACATGAGTCGCGGTGGGCGAATGCATGGTGTGGTGGTTATCATCGCGGGAGTGATTACGCGCACTTTGTCGCACGCCGCGTGTTTACGAATTCCTAACCTGTAGACGACGCGACTCGCACAGCCGATGTCCGAGTGGTTGTGAACCTGCAGTTTCTCTTTCTACGACTCTTTTTCGACAAATTTGCTAGATTACAATTAAAGAATAAAATGATGTTAATATGGCGGTATAATAAGTACAGAGGTGATGCAATAATAAGTTATAAAAATATTTTGGTTGGAGAGAGAGAGAGAGGGGGAAGAATGATTAACGAAAATTAGCGGTCGCATATTTTCTTTGCTCTCCGTCATGTGGAAGTGCAGTGATAAAGATTTGAAAGTTAAGTTTTACAGTATGAAAGAAAACTTATGGGGAAAATTAGAAAGCCCATCATTTATACGACCGGGTATATATATTCTTGTATATTATTACGTTTTTAATCATTGTATTCATACTGTGAACTGACAAAATACCTGGCATCGTTGCCCTGCAACTTCAGCGAGTTTTAGCGAGCATCTTTCCGCTACAATTCCCAAGATGTTAAATGCGCGTTCAAATATAGCTTGGAAAAACAAAGATAGGATGTTTATATTTTATAACTGTTATCATCGCCTTTGATTTGCACAGAGAAATAATACTAAGGGACGGATCTCCAAAACATGCTGTTAAAAAAAGCATGTCAACAATTGTGGGACACTGATTGGCAATGACATATTCAATCAATGGCAATGACATAGATATTATGCTTTTCTAGAATGTAGAACTGGCTATTTTTTTTTTCTGGAAAAATTCTAAAAATAGCATAATACCAGTGTAAGAACATTAATGTCATCTTATGTATAGTCTGTGTACAGTGTACGTATAAGCAGATCAAGACTTCTTATAAGCTGCGGTGATAGATGGTTATAATTTATTAGACATATCACTTGTGCTTCCCCATACCAGCATTAAGACGTTCTAAGACGCAGCAAAGGTGTCTTTCAAATAAGGGGTCTAAGGGACATTCTTATTCGGGTGTTTTTTTAATACAAAAAAGAATATTAAAATTATCCATAGTTATCTCCTCTCGCAAAATTGTCCGAGATTTTATGAAATAGAATGGAAGATGATATTCTACATGATATTCTAGTAGAACATATTTTTAGAACATCAAACAGACACAACACAGAACACTAACACACTACAAAAAATGATTGTGGCAGGAAAACTTTAAATTCATGTTAGTTTCATTTACACAAATATAATTATATAACACTTGATAGAGAGAGAAAGAGAGAAAGAGAGGAGGGGGGGGAGATCAGAATCTATGCGTTACAATTATAAACAAATGTACAGAGACGCGCGCACGGAGAAATTTCGCGAGGAATCCTGAATGAGCGCCGTTTTACTTACAGATCTTGTCTTGCGTGGAAAATTTAAATTCTGCAAAATCGCGATCCAGTGGACTGTTCATTTCCGATCTGCGAACACAAACAAACGTCGGCCCAGTGTCATTAAGTGCCACACGGGAGGAACTTTTATCTCTTGCCGACAGAAATCGCGCTCACACGCTCGACCGGCGCGAATTCGTCTCGAGAGAGAGAGAGAGAGAGAGAGAAAGAGAAAGAGAGAGAGAAAACAAGAAAACGCGCGAACACACAATTATCTCGCGCTTCGGTACGACGTGTACTTCGTCTTCATTCACTTTTATCGTGCGTGCGCGCGAGCACGCGCGCGCGCTATCACACTCGTTCACATTTGCGTGTGCATGCACCGTACTTACAGGCATTGTTATCAACAATGCTGATTGTCAGAACTTGTCGTCAACACCGGCTTATCTTCAGTGCAAGCGAAAACGTCGGTCAGCGTTAATCGGCGTAACACGAACGCCAGGCGTGCGACCGGTGCGCATATCGTCTCGCCGATTTTTCACCGCCGATTTCAACGCGATCCGGTGTCCCGCGCACCGGAAACGCGACTCACAGCGGGCGCGCTCTTTCGACAACCGCGGAGCGCGCGAGAAAGAGACAGAACGACACGCGCGAAAAAGCGGAGCGCACGAAAGCGGGAGCCGGAGTGCGCGAAAGTGCGCGCGATCCGCGGCAACGCGAGCACGGCTCGCCTCCTCTGTATATATCTCTCTCTGTTACTCTCACTTGCCGGGACGTTTCGAATCGGTAAAACGCGACGTTCAGCAGCGGTAGGTAAAGTCAATTAAACACCGCCGCGCTAGTCTCGAATCCACTTGGCGCGCCCAGCGGCGACAGGCGGGAACAAGAGGAGATCGGAGCCCTCCCTTTACCTCGGCTTGCCGAGAAACGTACTCGTCCCGCGCTCGACGATCCTATCCTGGCGCCCCGGCGATCGACATGAAAGCGGAGGGAGCCACGTGATCGCGGCTGATGATCCTCCGCTTCGTTCGCTCGTTCGTCGTCGTCGTCGTCGTCAGCGGCGGCGGTTCCGCGCGCGCGAGTACGTCTACCTACTCGCCCTCCCGCCCCTCTCCTGCGCGGATCTACCGTGGGATTCTTTACATAGGATCGAACATGGCTGGCGTCGTTGTATTACGACATGATCACTGCCATCGCGCTGGTCGCCGCCAATCCGCCTCTGTATGTGTGCCTCTGTCGTAATTTTGCTGCACTGCGATGTAATTTCTTGTTCCGCGTATATGTAAAAAAAACGAAGAGAGAAAGAAAGAGAGGGAAACGAGAGAGCGTTCGAACGATGAGATGCGTAACAACGATCGGCGGTGGGGCCGCGATCCGTCGTCCTACTAGCCAGGTCCAGTCTGAACTTATATTAATACGTATGGATGTATCGAGCCACCAATATGGCGGCGACGGTTGCCGCGAGAGACGCGCGCGCGGACGAGCGAGCGAGCGACAGGATATAATCAACTCAGTGTGAATTCGTGCCGAACTGTTGAGGCACGAGTTCAGCACCGAGGTTCAGAGTGTTCAGACGCGTTGTTTTGTAAGGAGATGAGCGCGCGCGCGCACTCACTCACTCACTCACTCTCGGAAAGCAGCCGCTGCCAGGATCTCGTCCCTCCCCCCTTCTCTCTCTCTCTCTCTCTCTCGCCCCCTCATCGGGCTTACGGCTGCCCCGTGCTTTCTCGCACGATTCCCCTCGTTCTCTTTCGCTCGCTCTCTTTCTCTTGCACCCTTCCTCCGCTCGCCTCCTCTTCCCCCCTCGCTCCCTTCGCCGTTTCCGCTATTTCCAAGTCATGTCGTCTCTTTCTCCGACACGGCTGGCAGGTTTACTCTCGCCGCACGCTTGTATTATTGTACTCGCACACGCACACACATAACACAGCGCGCGAATCGTGTACGCCCTTTGCATGAAACCCAACAAGTACAAAAGGGTGACGCGCACCGAGCGCGGACGGTCGAGTGGGTGCGAGCGAGGGAGAGAGAGAGAGAGCGAGAGAGCGAGAGACAATGGAAGAGAAGGAGGTAGAAGGGTTATATGGGAAGCAATAGTTGTGTGCGCGTGTGTGTGTATAGAAGGAGCTCGAATTGAAATTAAGTCAACTTAATGTGCACTCGAGCGCGGGTGGGGAGCCAATGAATGACAACGCTTGCTCTCGTGACGCAGGCGCAGCAGGTAACATCGCTAAACAACACGGTGCCCTCCCGAATCCCTCCCTGTGCCCACTCCGGTCGCTTTTCCTACCGAGCATTCTGCCCTCCTTCCGCCTTCTCGTCACCCTCTTCTACCGAATTCCCTCTCACCCTTCTTTCCACCTACCGCTCTCTCTCTCTCTCCCTCGTCATTCCGCTGAGCCCGTCCGCGCGCGCATTCTTTCTCACTTGCACTTCCGCTCTTCCGAATGCCGCCGCTTTCGGCTGAATCCCTCATTCCGTGCAATTCCCCAGCGAAATCGTCAACGCCAGTTGTCCAATTGCCACCTGTCATCCATTGTACTTAAAAGCTGCTGCTGCTGCATCGTCACGGTGGACAATTTACACCCGTAATTTTGCAACGGTTCCTCTGGTTCCGTGACAATTTAAGCTGCGCTTCCCTCCCTCTTTGATGTCCCACTTCGTATCGTGTTACTGCTCTCACCATCGATCCGTAATGTCGTGTGCAAAATTCAACGGACAATGTCCGCTCGGCTCAAAATCGACCGCAGCCGATGGGGCAGGTTGTCGAGAGAGGGACGTCCCGTCGTACTTCGCTGGTACAATCAAACCTCCCGCTTCGATGACTCTGCGAAATAAATCGACACTATGTACTTTTTTTCTTATCTTTTTTCTCCCCTCCTTTCAACATTCCCGCCTCGATTAATACGCAAGCGGTGTATCGCGCAACGCATAGTTTCATAAGTTTTTACGCTTGTCGTTACCGCCGTGCGACCGTTGTACTCGATTCTACAGTGCGTGCCGTAAGTGAACCTTGAGGAGAATTAATCAACATGCGACACGTTACAACGTATTACGAACGCGAGACACTCGCGTGCACTTGACGTTAGCACGCGTGTTTTTTTCTTCTCGGAGCGAGCTTTCTAAAGCGTTATTTTTTTTTTCTCTCCAAGGGAACCCACAGCGCGTTAGTTTTATTCTAACCACCTCTCTCGCATAACCGGTTTATCCGACGAAGTTTACGTGAGCGAGGTGTGGCCGCTAATGGTTGGAGGTCGATGAGGACGAACATATAGTAGGGGAACTCAACGGAATATGTCGAAAACGGCCGAATCTGCCGTTTCTATTGATCGTAACGGATCCCCGGCTCCGAGATACTCAAACAGCCAAGGTGCCCGAATACTTAGCTGCCTGGGCAGAGCGGCTCTACTCGGTTCAGTAGACTCAAGGAGGCTCGGAGTAGGACGGAAGGGACGAGTAGAATAGTTGACCCGGATATTACAATTTGCATGTCTCGTTGCGACAAGGAGAGGCAGGAGGGGGGGGGGGAGGNAGAAAAAACCGGCAGATTTGCATCTCAATTGTTGCAGCAAGAGGAAAGGAATATTTGCATTCTTAGAACCGTATTTGTTCGCCCGGCTCGGCGGCTACGTCGCATGAAACGAGGCGACGTCCCGCGTTGTTGTGTGCCATGAAAAGGCCACGGAACGCGAACGAATGAACGAACGAACGTGTGCGTCGGTGACGTCATTTCACTCGCTAATAGCATCTGTCAAGGAAACGGCTGTCCTCGGGCCCGAAGGCCGCCACGACAACGCATCCGCTTGCGCCCGTAGCTCCACTTTAGCCCGAACACGTACAAAAGCCGTTAGTCGTCGAGTAAGAGTTGATCCATCGCTGTGTTTTACATAACTAGAAGAGACAAGTCGCTATGCGGCAATTGCATTGCATCATGCGACTTTGTTGACCGCCTGAGTCGATATTAATAGCGTACGTCTGAGAGCTAATGAGAACGGAATAATCAGCAGCCAGTTGTGCGTGTGGTCGCGCGCCTTCGTCGTCGTCATCGTGGTAAAGCTGCAAGCTAGCTAGTTGGCTGGCGCGACTGGCTGGCTGGCTGGGCTGGCTGGTCAAATATGCGCACCCGGCTGCCGGTACTCACATTCGCGGAATATACTTGACTATCGATCCTTCTCACACGCCCTGCATCCTATCCGCCTCGCCCCGTTACCGCCCCCCCCCCTTCCCTCCGCCGCGGTATATAACCCCCGTCCTATGGTTTAGCAGACCTCTGTACTAGTATGCGCAATGACCCCGTTAGTTGCGCAGAGAGGGTAATCCTTTTTATGGAGCAGGCGAGATTACCACGATATAGCGACTTGGCGTCGCGGAGTGGGATGGGAAATGGGAGGAAGAAAAGGAGCGAGAGTGCGAGGGAGGAAGTGAGAGAGATAGGAGAGACACTATGTGTGACGTACGTTGACCCAACCTCCCTCCGTTCGCCTCTCTCCTTCTTTTCTCCCTCCCTCCACTCCGCGAAGCCAGTTTTACTACGAGTTGCGCACAACTTTCTAAGCTCGATTCCCTCCTGATGACTTTTGTTCAAGTTACGCCGCTTGGGTAGACGCTAACCGGCAGGCGAGGGTCGGAAGAGGGCGGAAGGGGAGAAGGGAGTGTGAAAAAAGCTGCAAGTCCCTCTCGATTGCGCCTCGTTAGCGAGGCCACGAGAGAGAGAGAAACGTCGCTTCACACCAGCTCGAACTTATTGCGGCGTAAAAGCGCGTGCAGTTTCAACGCATAAATTTCTGACGCGCCTTTTTTTTTGTTGCTGCTGCTGAACACGCTCTGCCGATCGCCGGTTCAGGTTTACGCGATGGGCTCTTATGCGATCGCGGTGTAAACCGTGTGCACGCGCGCTGCTATCAGGAGGGATATTATCACGGACGTAAGAAGCGTAAGAAGCGCAAGATACTTCGGCCAGCTCCCAGCTACGTAGTCTTGAGCCAGCCGGTCTGCCAGCCTGTCTGCTTGCCAAGATCGATCGAGCTTCCAGCGACCCGCCCTGTCAGGACACGAGAAATGATCACACTCGCCGGCCAGTCGCAATACTTTCCTCAATACAGCGAAATACTAGATATTAACATCTTACGTCGTACGGCGTATAACAGTATTTCCCTCAAGACTCGCGTAGACGGCGTATTAAAACTTTACGGCCGGCGACGGTGAGCCGTCCGTATGCATTATGATACGCGGCCGGGCATCATCAACCTCCCTGGTCGGGATAATAATCAGGCGAGGCAACGTTTCAGCATAATGCGAATCGTGCAGCCGCATGGTGACCCTGTACAACCAGCGAGAATATAATATATAACCCGCGTACATGTACAAGCCGATATTACTCAACCGCGGCGTGAGTTAATGCGTTCGCGCGCAGAGAGCGCAATAAAAGATAATAGCTTTACTCTCTACTCTCCTCGTCTCTCCCCGCACGCCCCTCCTACCGTCCTCTTTCATCCCAACCCCGCGAGAGGGTGGGACGGAATAGAACTGGAATTTTCCGCTCGCGCTGAGGCCCGCCTCTCTCTCTCTCTCTCTCTCTCCCCCCCCCCTCTNTCTCTCCCCCCCCCCTCTCTCTCTCTATTCGCTTGCTGTACGCACGTGTGTGTTGCGTGTATATGTATTTGCTGTATGTGCATGTTCTCTGCGTCGTCGTTGCTGGCAAGTCGATCGCTGCTGTTGCTGAGCGCTCTCGCCCTCCGCCACCCCACACGATCGTGACGTTTTGGGACGCCAGAAACGCTGACTCGGCAGAGAGAGAGAACGCTTGGCAACGCAGGAAACCTACCTACATTCACCTCCTCTCTCCTCCCCTCATCCTTTGACTCTTCTGCGTCCTCATAGTCTCTCCTCTGCCTCCGCTCCTGCCCGTTTAAACGTCTACTACCCTACAGCATCTATATCCCACATCTACCTAGAAGAACTTCTGCACGTTTACATACCAGTAAACTCCCGGCTTCCTGGAGAACTCGAGGCTCCTCCATCTTTATCTTCTCTCTCTCCCCTCGTTCCTCTTCCTCAAACAATGGCTTATATCTTCTTGCCTCCCCCCCCTCCCTTCCTCTTCGTTCTTTTCTTTCGTGTTTCTTGGGATTATAAGCTACGCAGGTATACATTCGGTGAAAGCTTGTGGTGGGAGGCCCGCCGTTGGGTTATTTCACTGTAAAAACTACTCGTAACCTCGAATCTAATTTTCTGAGAATGGAGTTTCTCAGGAATGTGACGATCCCCTCCGGCATTCACGAGACGGGTCCTTCGTCATTTCAGAAACTCGCCGCCGCCGCCACCACCGCTGGAACGAATGAAGTATATTGTTTTTTCTTACAATGAAGCACAGGATAAATAACATTTATGATTTACAATACGGTGAAATTCAATAAAATTTTCCCATTTCGCCATTTTCTACTTTCATGTTCTCGCCACGCCCTTTTTAAAATCAATATCTGACATGATTTTTCTTTTCTTGCGGCGCACTCGCTTTCTTCCTCGTCACGCGAAGCATTTCCCAACAGTTCGAAGCCGTTCGAAAGGGGCGAAAACAATTGTGGATTCTAATTATATACTGCCTAGACATTCATCAGCAATACGATCTGATATTTTCTCGCGGAGCGTTTAATATTCAATTTGACCTCGTTTGTTGACCTCACTGGTTGCTAGGCACCAAACCGCGCCGGCAGGCGGAGAGGGTTGGGGAGCGGAAGGGAAGGGATTTAAGCTTTAGCGACGTTGTCAAATTGCTCACCGGCGAATCAACCAACGCACCAACCAATGTAACCAGCCAACCAGCCAGCCCAACCAGCCAGCCGACCGACCAGCGACGGTTCAAAGCGTTGAAAATTCCTGGCGTCGTGAATGGGATAGCCGGTCAATTATGCGCGGCACCGGAACGATTAATCGTCCAATTGATCGGCCAGCCTCTCAATGCTTCTTGTTTCCACGCCGACACGGCATCCGAACAATCGGGTCGCTTTTTGTTCTGAGGACAATACCCGTCAATTTATTATTAGGTATCGATCGCACACGATTGTAACCAACGAAACCCCTGGCGTCAGTCAATTTTTTATCATTCCGAACACGATGTTCGGGCATCGATCCGGTTTCGTGCTTGACGTAGGAAATACAAGGAAACGTCGCGAAAACCGAACCCTCAAGATAGTTGGTCCGTAGATTGCCGAATTATCAATGACGATATTAAGGGGCTCATACGAGATGGAAGTATTTTACTGAGAGTACTATGAAATCGATGAAAAATGAAGTGAAAGTTATTGAGAAATTACTGAATATATATATATATATATATAAATGAATCATAATTTCTCTTATGAAAGACAACGTAATATTGTGAAATACAAGGAAAGTTAAAATATACTGTTGTAAAGTAATAAAAGTTTGAAATATCAGGTATCATAAAATTTACCGAATATAACTGGAAATGACTTTTTAAAGAAAAATTACTGAAACATCGATTGAAATAATTATATGCCGAGATATTAATAAAATGATAATGAAATTGGGTTAAATACATTTTCATTATATTTTCAGTAAAATATTTCCATCAAGTTACCTTCATAAATTTATTATTTGCTAAAAAAGACTTTCGTATAACTTTATTTAATTGTCTAAGTGATATAAATGTTAATTTTCGAAATTAAGATAAATATATACACAATATTACAAACACGGAGATATTATTAATTTTTTTATCTCTCTTATTAATGCTTTATTTATACATCAGTTGAGCTAATAGAAGTGCACATATAATAGAAAGCGTGTATAAATATTAAATATATGAATTATTAAACATATAAATATTTAGATATGTATATACGTGCATATATTGCGGGCGTTATTATAAATTATAAATTCAATTTATAAATTATAAGTAAAATTTATAAATTATTGAATTATAAATTAATAACTTCTTACAGCTGTATCTTTTCAAAACAAATGGTCAAAAGCTGTGAAATTTTCGCATGTCTATATTAATCCTTAATATCATAGTAGTTTTTTATTAAAATCCTAACTAAAGTAATTTAGAAGAAGTTAAAAATAGGACGTTAACCTCATATGTATAAAAAGTATCATCTTGCTAATATTTCAGCTGGTGGTTTTTTTAATTTTGCAGACGTGTACACAGTATTTCCATCGATGGAGGGAACGCGGATAAAATTAAAAAAGATTCTTCGGAAAATTGCTCGACGGACCAAATACTTTAAATCACCGGGTGATTTGAAACACATGCCGTCCACACGGTCAATTTCAAAACGAGACGGCAGACGCTCCCCGCCAAGGTTGTTAGACTCGCAAGAGAAACCACTACGGGTGGTGGCAATCACCAGTGATATAAATTTATCCCGATTATGCCGATCGAGGAAATGAAACGAACAATGTCCAATATACTTTTGATTGTTGCGCGATTGTTTCGACGACGCTGTGGCTCGCCGTAATTTATGGCTATTATGGCGGCCAGTACAATTGCCGGCCTCTCTCTCTCTCTGTCTCTCTCGAGACTCTCGCTCTCGCACTTTGCTATATAAAGCTACAAAGTATTTTTAGCGCGGCCAAAGGGTAGGAAGTCCCGTTCTCCGATGCTTCCCGACGATGCGTACGCTGCACCGAAGCGACGTGTTAACGTTAAAACCGCGACTGAACAACAATTTGAATCCCTCCCAGAACGGATCACTCTTGATCCATCTCTTTCTTCACGATTATCCGTGAGAGTTTTTCTTTTAACTTTGTGTTATTGTTTAACCGTTTAATGATAAAGAAAATTTGATGAAAATCTCCCCGAAAAAAAATAGAAAAACAGAATCTACAAGTGGATCAAAACCCAGCCGTTCTAACGTCAACGCGTAACGAGTGAAACCTGCCATTGGAGTTTCTCATTGCTTCCCGTGCGACAACAGACAAAGCCATCTTTTCATAGATCTCAAAGAACGGTGAATGCTCGACGGCGTCAATCGCGGAAGGTTAATCGCGAGATCAGCGAAATGCGAACAACGGGTGAACCGCGAAACGTCGGCTCGTGAACGATCAGGAAGCAACTTCAAACCGGCTCCGACCGCCAATCTTGCGAGATACTTAAGGTTGCATTACGTTCGAAAAGAAAGAAAAAATACGTTACGCCCGAAAAATGGCGACACGTTCGGGACGAGCTTGCGAGCTCTCGCGCTGGCCAGCTTCTCGTGCGAATTTCCCGGTTTCAGGGAGGTGTAAATACGCGACTTTGTTAACCTTGTTGAAAAAGAAGTTTCCCTCACATTTTTTCCCACGTTGATTTATGCAGACTCAGTCATAATAGACTGTTTACCTGGGAGTAGTTTTCCTTGATCCGGATAGCCGCCTCTGAATATTTAGCGTGAATAATGGAAATGCAATAAGTGCGTTCCGCGAAATTCTGCAAATGCAGCGTCGCCAACCGGCGTTGCCGGGAGACTGCCTCCGCTGTTCGCCGTGCCTCCATCTGGAACGAAATCGTACAATCAAACGCACAATCAAGCGGCCGCGTGCATCGATCGATACCGTCGCGACCGCTCAAAGTCGAATTACCGACGCGGTAATCGGATATCTCTCGCGTCTACGTCGTCTTCACGGTATGCCCCCGATTGTACATCATTTCATCCTCCCCTCTTCTCCAACCGAATTCATAATTTAACAGTTGCCCGCTTCAATTCGTTCGAATCATCGTCTGCAAAGAACGATTCACGCCGTGTCGCGGATTGGTTAACACTGAGCGCGCTTTACCACTGTAAACATCGCGTACCGAACATTTCGGCCTCGTGACAGTCGGTTGTCAACTGATAACCCGAAACGTAACGTAACTTGATGTAACAACACTAGTTGGACGCAACCTTTGTCACGCGACATCCACAGTCTTTTGCTTTCCCTAACTTTTTACGCTTTGTTTCACCGGCGTAACGCAAGTATTTTTTCTCGGAATTGCCCTCCTTCCAGTGTAAACAGCCGAGTCTGAGATATCGGGTCCGAAGGTAATTAGTAACGAATGTCCACCGCAAGCCTGTGAAGCATGTTCGGATCACTACGTAGCAAGTTTCAAACAGTGCAAGAAGGTATATCCGCTAGGTAAAGCAATTTATACGTTTGACGTATCGCCTGTCCTCATTTTTTATTCCACATGTGAATTTCATGCAAATTTAACATGAACGATAGCGTGTTGCCGGTAGAACAAATAGGAGGATATGCGAAATAAAATATCAGACTCATGCGGGATTCCGCTTGTGAATTATGTGCTTGTCAGAAATAAATTACGGGAGGTAATAACATTTAAAAGATTAATGAGATAATTGTATTGCAGTATACGGGGGCTGTCGAGTACCGAAAGCCCAAAGAGTAAAAAATCAATCAATGTGCGGAATGTAAATTACGATGCTGGTGCAGATATATTGCATCGCTTCCAGTTACAATGGAACGAGCTTCACGAGCTCGCGGAAGAGAATGCGGGGAAAGCTCAGGCGGCAGATACACTGGTGTCCGGCATTTACGAAAAGCTTCAGCATGAGTGGAACAGTGTCACTTGTCTGAATAGCACCCTAGCTTACATTCCAAAGATTAACAATGCTATTCAAGATCTTATGGACCAAATAGGTAGTTTGGCGTCAGAAAGATATAGGTATCACAATATATGAGAGACCTTTCCTCTAAAATCACCTGTTGTGCCTAAGGAAATCTGCAAGAGATGTTTGAGGAAGTTGAAGGGGCTTTATATCGACTGGAAGACCTCAATGAAATGTTAGATTTACAAAATAGACAGTTGGAACACAGGTTTCAGCTGGCTATGTACAAAGAGAAGAAATTGCTAGAATTAAATAATTTTAAAGGTACAAGTGTGCGAGAGAGGGAATACATTCTGTCTTTGATTAAGAAACTTTACTATTATCTAATTTATTTTCTTTTAGCAAAATTATCTAATGAGCACATTGAAAGAATCTCGCAACACGAGTTGAAACAGCAAAAGAAATTGAAAGAACGGCGGGAAACTTTCGAAGAGGTTTTCAAGGAAGATCTTGAGGAGTACAAAGCAACTGGATCTATACCAAGTATGTCTTCATGTCTTCCATGTTTTTCTAGAAAAAAACATCATTTTAAAAATATTAACGTTACATGAGAGAACATATTAATTAACTTATTTATTCCAAATTTCTAGAGTTACCGCTTTCCCCACAAGGTCCTTCTTTGGATGAGATAGTGTTAGACATTGATACAAAAATATTTGACGAATTTTTAGATAATTAGAAGCAAAGGGATCACGATGTGGATGTCTAAAAAAGCGTTACTACAACTATGCCCCTTATTTCAAGATCCTACACGTGATGGAAAATAATTTTTTTACCACATTTCTTACGATTAGATATTAGGGCTGTGACCTGACAATTCAAGTTTTTTAATATGATATAATAGCAGAGTATAATTTTTTTTTATATATATATATAAATGCTCCCATGATCTTGTATATACCAACGTCTAAACTCCTTTTGAAAATTTAATAGAACTTTGTATGGTCTATTATATATGTATAATTTGTTATATGTAACGTTTACTACTATAATATATTTAATTCCTATTTCATGTATATATATTTATTTGTAAGCGTAGATAAAAGAAGAGAAAATATATTTTGTTAAATTTCTTTTTTACCGAAAAATAAATCGATATATATATACATATTATATACCAAAAATTTGTTGGAATATTTGGTTTCTACACCTCTATTGAAATAAAATTAATATCGAGGTATGCGTTAGGAATTGAGAAAGAAGTTTAGCTTCTATCCTGATTGGTCAAATTTTTACACTTTTAACATTTTTAACAAACTTTTAATCTTCGGTAAATCTGTGACAGCTGCGCAAAGTTATCGCTATAGCTGCGCTACCTATCCACATTTAAATTAAAATCGGCATTATATTTGATACTCGGAGGAAGAGAGAGAAAAATAAAAAGTTCACGCGTCAATTTAGAAAGTGCAAAGAATAGACATAAATCGGTGTTACAGTCAGATCTTATATTTAAGATCGTCTTATGTTCATCCTCAGATGTACTATACGAATCGTTTTATTGACTACAATGCATCCGAAGACGAACTTACGACTGTTTAGTATAGCTTACATCGTAAACATGACCGCAACTTTAAATATAAGAGAGAATTCACACTTTGATAGAAAAGCGGAAAGCAGAAAAGCATCAGCCAATCCGAACTCGCGCCGGTAATAAGCAGTAGATAAGGTAGAAACTGTCAAACTCTCAGTGCGAGTTCTGATTGGCTGCTGCTTTTCTGCTTCTGCTTTTCTCTCAAAGTAATTCTCCTCAAGATCTGAATCAAATTCTCCTCAAGATCTGACTATTGGTTTGGTTTTTTTAGCTGCACTGCTGAACGGGTGCAATAAATTAGAGTGAAACAAGTATATTTTGTCTCGCTCTAACTTATTGCACCAGTTCAGCAGTACAGCTAAAAAGAACAGGACATATATGAATACCAGCCCTAGTGTGTAATTTAATACAGGCTTAAGATTGCACGTACGGCGCAAAGTACCGATGAGGCGGTGATTGGATCGAAAATATGAGTTAAAATAATAAGGAAAGAAGATAGATTCGCGAACCAACAGCTGCAGAGGCGACCAGTTTAAACAGCCGACATTTCTTAGGTACTCAATTCTATTTATGATTGAATCGAATGATTAAAATATACCCAGTGCTTTCATAACGTGTTTTTGGAGGTTATCTAGGTAGAAGAATTTAATTTCGTAATATTTTCAGTAGGCAAGAGGAAAATTAAACGTGTGAAAACACATTTGTCGGCTTAGGAAATAATTCGCGCCCAACAATGGACCCGGATTTGCGAAGGAGGCAAAGGAAACACAGGATATATGACATGTTGCACAGAGGTTCGGTAAAAGTCTGCATAGGCGTCACGGTGGCCAGCGCATGTTTCCTTTGTTACCAATTGTACGAGTACTTTCGATATATTCGACCTTTGCACAAGATGCAATATAAAATATCCCAGGAAGAACTCTTGAATGAGGGTAAGGACATAGATGCTCCTTTGAATACCGAATTGTTAAAATAGGATAAGTTATCATGCGATGACAGTCAGCTTGCAATCGAGTCGTTTAATATATTATAATTGTAACTATAGAAAATAAAATTCAATGTGAAATAACGTATTTCTAAGGATCAGAACTACACCCACGATCTGTAAATAAACCTCATAATGTAAATTATTATATAATATTCATATAGTGAAATATAAAAGTTACTTAAAATCTTTAGGTTTGTAAAAACAAACCTTCATAATAATGTGTGAAAAAAACGTTGGAGATACGTGTGTATGAATTTTATGAGGAACATGTACGTCTATTAATTGACTCATGTTTCGCTACTTCTAGTTTTATTGGTGTAGTTTTAATTATAGCTATTACCACCTGCTCACTCACAAATGTACAATAATTTGGTTTTACACATCAGCAGAGTTTTATTTCTATTGTATAAAAAGTATATTGTGAAATATTTGGCCCTGAGTCACTTCGAAACCTCGAGATTGATGCGAAATTTTGAACCCTCGAATTTGTAGTCTGAATTTTGACATCCAAGGTCCGATCACGCCAGATCCCATTGATCTGAACGATTGAATGTCGCCTATCGAATCAAGCGAAGAATTTGTGCGTCTCATCCAAATGTATGCGCAGTTTGTTTTTGGCGCGACCGGACCCGAGCGAAGAAACTTTTATACAATGAAAGAGTACAGTGCATAGAATGATGTTCATATACAGTATCTATTTTCTACCATAGGCGTGAATAGAGCGCGGGACAAATTTAATAATGCGTAATATACAAATATCTTTGAGCATTATATTGCCTTCCTCGCTAAAGTATTCTTAACATACAAAAGGACATGCTAGGACTATACATTCAATGTCTGTATAAAATGCATAGCAAATCACCGGGTACTTAAAACGTAACAACGAGCACTGAATTTCGAACACATCTCGCGGCTGCCTTGCACAATATCAAAATGTGTAAAATTAATCTTAGAGTAAGAGAAATACATGTATAAAAAACAGTAACATCTGTTTATCCTTTCAGAAATATATACCATCGTGTGAATTTTGCAAATGTGGTATTTACATTGAATTTCGAGAATACAACATGATAATAACGATATATCGAATTATTCTCGTCATATAAATTTTCGTTTTGCTCTTTTGCCATCCGAAGCCGGACATGACGCCTCTTTTTCTCGACTTATACCATATCATTATGCCTATCATATTTCTAGCGACGGAAATATAATTTCTTACGACAGAGTCACTTGTATCATTCTTTCTTTCTTTTTCTTTCTTTTTTTTTTTCATTCAAGAACCAAGAACCGTGAGAGTGGAAGGATAACTCGTAGCAACACAACTAAAAATTCGCATTATATATCAAATCTGTATATTAAATAAACATTCTGTTTATACTATTTATACGTATATATTGATCGAGTGCGCGGTGACATTTACAAAAATGTACGAATGTATGTATGATAAGCAATCTTCTGCGTATCAGTATGACAAAAACACACTTCTGTCATAAATTTAATACGAATTTGTCGTTCGGACGCGGTAATGCCTAAGAAAGAAGAAACAGGCAGACGTCAGATATTGTCGCGAAGCTACTAGTAAAAATCGTACAGAAGGCAATGCATTTTATACACTACACCACGGGTATTTGCTTTCGAGTACAAAATACGTTGTATGTACTTATGCTCTTGTATATACAATATGTGTTCTCTACTGCGTAATGGACACAATTTGTACTCTGTTCCTCGACAGTGCCACTCGCCACTTTTAAAACATACATATATACATATGTATACACATTGCAGAAAATTGCAATTTATCGCTGTATATAAGAGAGAAGATATCTTCTATCAGCTCACTTTCTCCTGTACAAGCGCGTAAAGATGGATAATCGGACGATTCTCGAATTGAATCTCGCAAGATTGCACTCCGAGCACTTTCCAGTACGTATGTATATATTTATGTTCCAAGCAGCAATTATTTCAGCAGATTCTGCAAAATAGTGCTCCGGGATACATTCGTGTGAATATATGTATAAAATGAAATTCCTTATGCTCCGTTTCACGCACAATTACCGAGAATTTATATACATACCTTTGAATATCAGTCGATACATATATATATATACATGTATGTATGTGTATATATATATATATATATATATATATATATGTTCTACTTCGCGCACCAACTGCATTCTTTATAAATCTGGCGCTCAACGCGGTAGCATTGATATCAATGACTGCGTTCAGCAAAGTCAGTCACTGTGTCAGCGCTTCTTGCCGCGCCGTCCACAGTTTGAAAATTCTGCTGAACGCTCCTCCGTTGTTGGATTGTATTCGCTTATATTTCACAACGCGCTTATTAAGCTCCGTCTCCGATATAGAAGATAGAGATAATAACGACCGTTCAGTGAACATACGAGTCGCGAACAGACGTTCAGCAGAAAATTTCTCGCAAATAGTTGCATAAGCTGCTGTTTCTGCTGAACGTGAGCATTATCTCGTAGACGATCGTGGTTTTGTGACCATAGACATGTAAAATAGACTGAGCCCATTGAAGGACTCGAAGCCGGATTAGTAAGAGAGGAAGAGAGCAGTAGAGACAGTGGTGCTTTCCGCGTTTTCTAGTATAGTTGGCGGGGAGAAGGAAAGAGGAGAAGAGACACAGTTTTACAAATACTATGAACTAATAATTACGAGTGCACACATTGGTGTACTATTTATGCGTCTTCTTACACAATATTCCTCCCATTTCTTCACTCTTTTACTCTCTTTTACCCACTCTCACTCTTCTGCTTCTCCTACATCGCCCCCTCTTACAGTACTGTGTTACATTATTGTGTGACAGAGAAGCTCCACTGTTAACATATCTCTGTCCTTCTACTTTGGCTTCAGCTCTCCGATGCCTGGTCCATTTTATATGTCTATTGTAACGAACAACTGAAAATTGCCAGGTCACAGCATCTAACGGAACTCTTCGCCCAAGAAATAGCTATGTCGAACTAATAACATATAGGATGACGCTCCTCGAGTAATGTGCGATCGAGGTCTTAAAAAATTATTCCCATGTAAAGACAACTCGGCTGAACACTTTTCTTCTTTTTCAAGATTTATCGTTTGCACGAACCTTCTGTATATATACTGTATACAGAAAGTATCATCTTGTTCCTTGTCATAAAATAAGCAATGTCCTTGTTACTGAACAGGGGGACATTGTGGTAAGACGTGTCCCGGAAAGGACGGGCATCCACAAAAGAGGAAAAAAAAAATTGAGTCTTTTCGCAACTCACGCATGTCAATTTTAATGATAATACGAAGTCTTCTAACTTCGCTCGTAAGTTGAAAAATGTTTGTTATTATCATTATTTCACACGCAACTCTTACAAAAGGAGAAAAAGAAACAAAAAAAAAAAGAAATGTAAAATTGTACAAACTCGTATTCGAGTTAAACAACGTGCATCCGTGAGCGTTGCAGAAAGTTTGACGAAACACAATTTCGATGCACCACGACACACTTCTACACAAAATTCATTCCCACCAATGTTCCTCTCTCTCGCGCGCACGCTTAAATATCTCGATATTGTTAAGCTTCGTAATCATTTTACAAATCTTACATCCGATCAAGCACTTGCACAAGACCCTGTAGCCCGTGTAGGCTAGAAATCGACACCATGAAGACGGCCGCCTTCTGCGACTGGTTACGAGCTGTTCGACGAGGGATTCGAGTTCGAGTCCACGCGCATTGAATCGATTTTGGCTACGATCTTCAAGGCGGGGCCCAATTTGATGCTCATAGCCGACATGAGGTGGTCCTCCTTCAGCAGCATGAGGGCCTGGCCGTCGATCTCCTGGATGGCAAAATCCTCCGCGTAATCGGAGCATCCTGGCAAACCGCGTATGAAGTCGCACACTTCGTTCACCTGCGAAATAAAGTTTTCCTCCGTCACAACACCATCTCATGATTTCTTTTATTGTCCTATAACGGTCAGTCACTGAACGGTTACGACATCTCTTTTTCGACGAGTTTCGCAACACATCTCGTGTCCAATAGGAGAAAAAATGCATCCGTTGAGAATGACTGAAAGGCGAATTCTCTTATTGGACACGGGACGCCTTCCGATGCTTGTAGAAGAAAAAAGTGTTGCAACCGTCCTGTGATTGATAACTGTACATGTGTGTGAAAAGTGGTCTCTCATTACCGTCCATTTGACTGGATTCATTTTCGGCAGTGATTCATCGACGGAGGAAGGAGGAAGGATGGTGCTCGTTGACAACGGCCTCTCCTCGCCGTTCTTCTTCGTCACGTCGTTATCGACAGTTTTATTCTCCGTCTCCATCCCGGTCAATTGCTTCTCCAGCTTATTGTCGCGATCGCGTGATTCGCGCTTTTTACTGTGGACAATAGAACACATTTCCTTTCAAGTACGACCGGGGCAAATCTCATAGGACATTTTATACATTCGCAAAAGTAAATAAAAAACATCGCGCCTCGACTTTTGTCGGTGGACGAGCACACTCACCTCTTTGCGCACAGCGACGAGCAAAATCGTTTCTCCTTCCTGAGCTTGACGCTCTGCTCGTCGATCACCTTGTCGCAATTCTCGCACTTGTTGGACGGTCTGCTACCCCCGTCCTCTTCACTCGAATAATTAGGAATGTGTTTCTTTCCTGCAATCACAATCGAAGTGTTAAATTGCGCGTTAATGTGCGAACATTTGTGCACCGGCAATTTTAAACGGGAACAACTTGGCTTACTCGGTGGTTCCTCGAGAGCCTCCCTCTCCGTGGCCGTGTTGCTCCGATTGAGAGCATTGGTGGTGTCCTGACTGACCGCGAACGGCTCCGACGCTGCAACACGAACAACGACTCAATTCGATGTTCAATGTGAGGGGAAACGACTCGTGCGCGACATTTCGCTCCCGATATCGCGATTCGTTGCGAATACATTTGCGTATGATAATACAGACGAAGGCGATTGTACCTTCTTGTATCACGAATCCCTCGATTACGTGCGTGAGGACTTGCGGCTTCACCATGGCTTTGGGTGGCGCTTGTTTATTGTTTACCGTGACTGGTATAGACACCGACATGGATGATTCATCGCTGCTCACTCCGTTCGTAATCGCGTTCACGGCATTAGCAAGACCCGCCAACGGGTTATTGCACGGTTTATCGTCCACTTTTTGAACAAGCCCTTCCTCCTCTTTCGTTATCGTCTTACATTGGTCCCCTTCTGCCAACAACCACAAAGCATAACTCTTTATCGCACGTACCGGAACCTCCATTCGTTCCGACACTTTCGCAATCGTGCGCAAAATGCAAGCCGGCCCACGCTCCGGCTCACTACTTTCTGCTCGACTCGATCTCGTCACTAATTGCGACTGCAACTGAGTCATCCGTAGCTCTTAATATCAGCGAGAAAATCAGTTAATACCTGCTACTTCTGTCTGAAGTATCGTCACTTCGTCCGTAGTGACAGGCACCACATCCTCTTTCTTCGTCAGTAATTTTAGTCCATCGTCGCTCCCTACCGGCGGATTCGTGGTGGACATCATCGCACATTCCGCTTGCGAATTACGATCCGGCGACGTGATCATGATCGTTGAATTGGTGCTGTCTTGCGTCGTCTGTGTCTGATCCTGCGTCGCGTTCACGATCGGCACCGCCTGAACTTGCGATGCTCCGCTCAATATTTGGTTGCCTATTATCGCTGGATTGATGGCCTGGAACAGATAGCGGGTAGATTCATGTCTCGTTATTATTATCGAAATTATTGCGGCTGAAAGTCCGACAAACTTCCGCTGGTTCGTTTAGAATTAGAATTACTGAGAGAAAGAGAATGTTTTTTTACGCTGACAGACCGCCTTCTTGATTATTATTTGGTCCATTATCACGGAAGATTATTATAAGATTAAAAAAATGTGAAACATACATAGCAAATATCAACTAACAGTGACACATCAACGTTATGATTTCCCACTCAACAATTAAAATGCAATATAACGCGCGTGTTATGTAACGGTTACATCACTGAGTGGGAAATTTGCAACATTGATGTTATGTTACTGTTGGCTGGTGTTTGCCGGGTCAAATGTCACGAAAGTGCGTATGTACCGATAAAGGAAGTTGTTGCACTGTTGACATGGCAGTCTGTGGCATCTGACTCATCTGTGACGTGGTGGCAACTCCGGTCCCAACTCCACTCACTGATACAACTGGCATGATGGAACGGTCCGCACCCAACACAACGCCGGGTTGTTGTTGCTGTTGTAACGTCATATTCGCTGTATATAAGAAATATGAATAGTAAATAAACGGTATGCATAAATTTTACTCGTTGTTAGAGTTACTTCGAATAAACATTCTCACTCATGATGGGTTTAGGTTGTATTTGCTGTTGCGTAGTTGGTTGCTGATACTGCAGTTGTTGCTGCTGCTGCTGCTGCTGTTGTGTATGCTGTTTCTGTTGTATGAAAACAAGCTGATGCTGTATGTTGACTTGGTTGACAGCTGATGCTTGTTGTTGACTTAGTTGTTGCTGTTGCTGCGTTTGTTGCTGTGGCGCCTGCATGGGTTTACGGCCCTTTCCGACTCCTCCAGCAGTCTTACCACTCTAAAATATTCGAACAAATGGGGATGTTATGACCAGCACTAATATATTTTAATCACAAATTAAATTAATTGCTTGTTACCACAAACTAAATTGTCTATTATCAATACAAAATTAGTAGGGTTAGAAGGCAACGCATAATTGATAAATGAAGAATCCCAAACAACACGTATGTCTAAAAGACGTCCTTTAGACGTCTTAATTTTCTAAAAGACATCTCTACGACATCTCAACGTTATCTGGGAGCGTAATTCGACATCATAAAACAAAATACCGTGCAGCAGAAATTATAGAAACGAAATATCATGTAACTGCAAAACTCCATGGCAAAATAATTGTTTACCAAGTGCCACTAACAGAATACATTGAGAAATAATGGTAAATCAGAATGTTAAGAAATTTGAGAACAATCATTTTTGTCGCTACGAAATTAGGTACTTATCTTTTCTATGACATTCTCTCAAACTAATCTTCACCATTATTGTGCGTGCCGATATTAGTATAGTAACCTGTGCTTGTACCGTAGCTTGAACTCCGTGAACGGTTTGCGTGGAAACAGAACTGGCTGCGCGTATATTGGCAGCTTGTACTGCTTGTAAAGATGAAGGTAAGATGCTCAATGGCCGTTGTCCGCTTACGCTCGGCTTACCCTGCTGTGGCTGCTGCTGCTGAATGTCCATCACCTTGGGTTTCCCGCTAGTAGCCGCGATCTGTTGCACCCCGTGGATTTGCTGTGGTGTTGAGATGGCTAATTCGATGGAGAATAATGCAAAATTAAGAACAGAAATGAAAAGACCATCTTTCTTTCAGAGTTGCATTCTTATAGAGAAAATCCGAAATAATTACGGTAAAGACACTAACATAAACCTAAATTAGCATGTTTTAATTTTATTGAGAAAGAAAAAAACAGCGAGGATATTAACCATTGTGCGCTTGTATCGGTTGAGGGCTCTGTATGAACATATCGGGCTGCGTGGGACCCCTAAGGAAAATTTGATTCGGTGCGGCAGTAAGAATCGTAGGCGGTTGTAACCCCGCAGTCCATACTTGCGGAGCGAACCACGGTGCGAACTGCATTCCGGCATTCCTATTGCCTGACGGCGTCCCAGCACAGGTTGTGTACTGTTCACGAGACAATACATCATACATTGGTGATATGTTAATAGTAATCACACTGTACGGCGATTTATGACACTAAAACGACATTAGAATGTAGAACATCAACAAACATACATTTGTAATTAATATATTACGAAACTTCATGGTCAAATAATGTTGATAATGAATGAAAAAAAAAGCCACTCGAACAGAACATATTAAGAAATAATAGTGAATTAGAACATTGAGCAATTTGAGAACAATAATTTTTGTTGCTACGAAATTAGGCACTTGTCTTTTCCATGGCATTTCCAAACTAATCTTCACCATATATATTACGGAATATTATCTCGCGTATATAAAGTAACATCAAAGTTCTCCGATCGAACAATTACAGCTTACGAACTTCACACACCACGCTTATCAACACATAAACTGATGGAACCGAAATCGGTTAATCAATACCACTTTAATCACCTTCTGAACCTGATCCTGCTTGTTCGCAGATTGCTGTTGTTGTTGCTGCTGCAACGAAGGTGGTGGCTGCGGAGAACCGAGTACATCTAACTGGCCAAATACCAATGTCTGACCTGCTCCAGGGGTAGCCGAGGTCGGGACTGGTAAGTAGCCGGCAGGAAATCCTTGAACTTTCGTGCCACCGGCACCTGGATGCGCACCACCTTGTCCGGGTGTCGATGCTGTGGTCAGCATGTGTGGAGTTAGTTGGGCTGCAGATTGAAATGGTTTTCCAGCCGTTATCACCTGTAAAGTATATCACCCATGATCACTTGAAACTTGAGCGCTGTTTTTTGTATGAAATGGAATTCATTGGTGAGAATTAACGTCTATAGTTGAATCTATACTTAATAATATCTATATAATAGATAGTAGAGTAGATAAAGATAGATAGTAGATACTAATATCTATACTTGAATAGAAGAAGGATTTATGCCCGCTGGATGAAGTGCAAGATTGCCCGGCATTATCAGAGGCGTGCCCTGAGTATTGTACAATTGTTGCAAGTGATAAGCTTGACTCTGTATCGGTTGCTGAATCACTTGGACTGCTTGAGGGTGAGCAGCCATGGTAGTTATGGTCGTTGCGCCCTGCTGACCTGAGAGGGTCATGGACACACCACCTTGCTGCTGCTGATGCTGCATTGATACCGCGACAGCTCCTTGCAACTGTTTTAACAACGAAATAATGTAAGTGGTTTAAGAACGAACGAGTGTAAACGGGAGTTTCATTTGCGAGATCCAAATAAAAGTAACTGTAAATACGTTATCACAAAGAAGATTGGGGAAAAGTTGAAATTGATAGGGTTAACAGTGCAAGTAATAAATAAGTAACAATGAGTAACAAACAAAAAATGTGATATAATATATATATATATATA